GAAGAAAAATCATATGATCATCCTAATAGATACCAAAAAGCAGTTGATAAAACTCACATTCCTGATTTTAATCATTTAGGAAGCTGGGAATAGACAGATCCTTCTTATTTTGGTAATGTCTGCTAACTTAGAGGAGGCATCACACCTAATGTGAAACGCTGGAGTCAAGTGACGAAGGACAGCAGCCAAAGACAGGATGCTAGATGTCATTGCCACGTCACAGTGTGGCACAGGATGTCACCAGTGCAATAAGACAAGCAAGAGAAATAAGTATAAATAATGAAAGGAAAAGATAAAAATATTACTTGAAGACAATAGGATCATGGCCTGGAATAGCTAAGAGAATCATCTGAAAGACTGTTAGGGTTAATGAGAGAATCTATTGGAGTGCTAAGTTATAAAATATAAACGTAACACCGATAGTGTTCTATACACCAGCAAAACCCAAATAGAACATGTAGTAGACAAAAAAGAGCTCATTCACAATAGCAACAAAATGTATAACATGCTTTTCACAAGCAAAGTATAAGAACTTTGGAAAAATTCTATAAAACTTTACTGGAATAAATAAGTGGAGACAAGTTTGACAACCTTGGATGGGAAGGCTCAATATTATAATGATATAAACTATTCCCCGATAGATAAATACTTTTGGAGCAATCCAATCAAAACTTAAAAAGATGTTTTTTGCAACTTGAAGAGCAGATTGCAAAAATCATTTATATGAGTAAAGGATTGATAAAAGCAAGAGACTTTTATAAAATATCATTAACAAAAACAACAGTGAAGGGAGGACCATCTATCAGATATGAAAATATAAAGTTATTATAATTAAAATAAAATTCTATTTGTATGCAAACGGGACTTCTGGATCAAAGGAACAAAACAGAGATAGAAAAAAAACAGGCTCATGGAAATTAAAGAAGGTTAATATACATTAAAGGGGCATCTGAAGCCAGCAGCTATAGGATGAATTATTTAATAATGATTGGGTACAAATATTTAATTTGAAAAAAATAAGGTTAGATCTTACCTCATATTGCCCAGAAAAGTAAAGTACAGATGGACTAAAGGGCTAAATGTAAAAGACAAAAGTATAAATTATCAAGAAAAAATAGGAAAATTTATTATAACCTTGGATTTAAAGCCTTCTTAAACAAAGTACTGAATTAAAAAAAATAAAGGAAATAATTGATAAATTATTATTAACAAGAATAATTGACAAATTATATGTAACAAAAATTTTTGTGTGTAAAATATAAAGTTAAGGCAAAAGTGACAAAGGGAGAATATTTTCAATGTGTAACCACCAAAGAACTAAAATCTACAATATAATTAGAAAATAAAACTAATTCCTAAAAATCAATAAGAAAAAGACAAATGGTCCAGTAAATTAATAGAAGCAGCATATAAATATGTCTTTCACAGAAGAAAAAGTGCAAGTAGCTTTAAATATTGGGGAAAAATGCTCAATCTCAGTAGTAACTATGAAAATGTTAACTAAAAAGAAATATATTTTCCCTCACATAAAGTTGGTGACAATTTAACAGACTGACAACACTAAGTATTGTTGACAATTTGAGAAAACACACTCCTACTGTGCTATGGCTATGAGGAAATTGCTATGAGGTTTTGAGAGCTTAATTCGGTAACTATTCATTAAAATGAAAGATCCGTATACGCCTCAAGTCGGCAACTCTACTTCTCATACTTGTATAAGGAGGTTGCACAATGATATTCTCTGTGGTATTGTTTTGTAACATCAAACATTGCAAAGATCTTAAATATCCATCATTATGGGAACTATCGATTGTTGATTCCTCCCCACCATGGACCACTGCAAAGCAAGGGGGTGGGGCGGGACGTTGAGAGCAGCCTGCCCCGGAAGGGAACAGTTTTTTGTCACTACCATTGCTTAGAACTGTCCGTGCACGATGCAAGGTGATAATAAAAAGACGAACTTTTATTGAACTTATTATTGTTTTAAAATTCTCTACAGGCAATGCAGCCTTATTGCTTGCATCCTGGACAGACTGCTCCCACTCCTACGCTCCCCCTGGGGACCGCCAAGACGCAATCTTCTGCAGGCCCTATGTGTAGACAGGCGCTGACGTCTCTATCACTTAACTGTTAACAGAAACAGGCGGAAGAAGATGAAGAGTAAGATGCCGATTTTGCTAAAACACAGACACATTTGCAGAGCTACATTTCTAAATATACTATAGGTATATGAATGCACACAAACAACTGTAGTCATTTGTTGTGGTGGATGACAGGGAGTTAGGGTTGTGGTAAAGGGTGACTATTTTGTATATTTTAACATTTTTACATTATATTTATTTATTTATATAATTAAAATGTTCGCAAAGAGTTAAAAATACATATATATATTTCTCTCTTTTTTTTTTTCTGAGAAGATAACTGCCGTAGTTTAACTAGAAGGGAGGATGCTGAGGACCAGGGTTTTGAAATCTCTGGAAATGCAACACCATCGCCACCTAGTGGGCAGGAGAGGACACTGCCAGGGAAGCGAGGCCACGCTGGTCCCAGCGCCTTTCTGCTGGTCCCTGCCTTCTCCCCGTCGATGCCTTGCAAAGCTTAACACCAGAAGACAACTTTCAAACCACCTCAGAATTAACAGGAAGCTTTGGGCACCTAGTTGTGGCGGAGACGCGGCATCTTATACCTGAAAGTGAATTATGCAGACAACCCTCAAGAATATCCCTTTGAGGCAAGTCACCCGGAGTCTCTAGAGAAGTTCTCCACCTGAGCTAGATAATAATGATTCAAAATTGAACAGAATTTTATATTTCTACTCTGTGATCGCAACAATCCACGAAGTAGATTTGTAATGATCTTGCTTAACAAAGGAGAAAATGAGAGCTTAGACCATATACAGGACTTCTAGGCAATACATTAGCAGGCCAGGCAGGACCTGAGGACCTCTGAGTCCGCAGCTATCTTCATGGGGGCCCCAGGATCAGGGATCTGGCTGTTGCCTTCACAGGTCATTGTAGCAGATGCTGGTGATGCCCCAGCCTGTCTCCCCTGGACCTACATGAATTATCTGCAGCTATGGGGGACAGTTTCTGGCCCACTGACAGTGTCCCACCTCAGACCTGGGTCTCTCTCTTCTTCTCCATCTGAGGGACTTCTCAGGCACCATCCATGCAAACCTGGCTGTGTACAATGTTAATGCCCACCCTGCATGGGACCACTCTCTACCACTGGGAGATGGGAGACTGTGGATTATTGCTCCCTGTCTTCTAGTGGGAGAATTCTGAGCTGTGATCCACATGGCTTCTCAGAGGGTCCCTGGTGGGATGCAGCCCCTGTTTCCTATAGCATACCTTAACTGGCCTTTTGTGGCTTCCCTGTCTCACTCTTGGGCTTCCTGGTGTCCCCTCTCACATAAACCTACATCTAAATTCTCAACCTAGGACTTGCTTTTGGTAGAACCCAAACTAAGAATGCAGGGCATGGTAGCTGGCTACTGGGGGAGGTGCGATGACATTCAGCAAGTGGGTGTGGTTTCTCCAGGAGCCTGAAAGGTCAAGTTGAAAGTATTGAGAGTGAGCAAGGATGACACGTCTACAGAAGGCAGAGGCAACACAACTAGATCTTTCAGACTCTCTTTTTTAAATATCGCAATCTCTTTTTTTTTTTTCTTTTTAAATATTGGCACCTGGGCTAACAACTATTGCCAATCTTTTTTTTTTTTATGCTTTTTTCTCCCCAAATCCCCCCAGTACCTAGTTGTATATTTTAGTTGTGGGTCCTTCTAGTTGTGGCACGTGGGATGCCACCTCAGCGTGGCCTGACGAGCAATGCCATGTCGTGCCCAGGATTCGAACTAGTGAAACCCCAGGCCACCAAAGTGAAGTGCACGAACTCAACCACTCGGCCACAGGGCTGGCCCCCAATCTATTTCTTATATAAGGTCATTTAATCTTCCAAGCTACATGTGTCACTTTTGAGTTTAGAAAATATTGCAGAGGAAGGCCAGAGTGGGCTCCACAAAGGTCGGCATTCAGTCTATGGTGATCACAGCACTTCGCCAGGAAGAGGCGAGGCAGGGCAGGGACACTGCATGATCACAGGCATAGAGCTGGGAATGAACAGGGTGTATTTAGAGAATATAAAATTAATCTGGTTGGAGGTCCAAGAACTACCTGAAATTGTAAGTAGAATAGTAAGTGAGTGAGTGAGTGTGTGTGTGCAGGTGCATTTTTCTAGAGAGAGAGTCTGTAGCTTTAATCACATTCTGAAAGGGGGTTCATGAATTAAACCATGGGGAGAGAGCCACTGAAGATTCTGAGAAGGGGCTGATGTGGACTAAAGAATCACAGAATGTTAGTAAAGTGTGCTCTGAATTATCATATTGAAATAACATTAGCTGAGCCCTGTGCTGCATCTAGGACAGAGCTCAGTGCTTTATGAACATCCTCTTATTCACTCATCACAACCACTCTTTGAAGTGGGTTCTAATATTAGCTCCATTTTACAGAAGAGGAAACCGAGACCTAGAGAGATGCCCTGCCCAAGGTCACACAGTGGGATTTGAACTCAGGCTGGCTGACTGTAGATCCCATACCCCTAACCCTAAGTCAGTGGCCCTCAAACTTAAATGCACAGCAGAGAGCTTGTCACGACAGAGATGCCTGGGCCCCATCCCCAGAGTTTCTGATTCAGAAGGCCTGGGGCAGGGCCTAAGAACCTGCACTTCTAACAAGTTCCCAAGTGGTGTTGATGCTGCTGGTCTGGGGACCACACTTTGCAAATCCACCTTCAACCCTAAGCTCTCATCTCCAGAGAGGACGACATGGAGCCCCAGAGAGTTGATGTGACTTGTCTAGGTCACTCAGCTACTTAGCAGCAAACCAAGATGGGAATCTGGATCTATGCATGCTGAACCCAGGACTCTCTATGCCACTCCTCCTTGGAGGAGGGCACACCCTACTGAAAGTGTGTGTGTGCTTGCACGCACCCAGCTTTATTACCTGATGTGTGTCCAGCTCCAGCGGATGGGCATTGGGGGAAGATAATTCCTTGCTTGGCTCCTCTGAGCCCCCTCGGGCCCTTCTCCACCTCCTGGCCCGCCGGTCTGCAGCGTGGGGGGCTTCCTCAGGCTCACTGCTGTCCGAGGTCTCCCTGCTGGCTGCCTGGAGGTTGAAGTTCACGTCTAGCTCTCCCTGTAGGCTCATCGTCTCGGCTGCGGGGTTCCTGGGGGCCTTCCTCTGTAACCAGGACAGTCTGGCCCGGTGCCCAGCTTCCCGGGAAGAGCCTGCTGAGGAGGTCTCTGAGTCGGAGCACATGGCCTCGAGGTTGGGGGAGAGCCCAGAAGAGGCGGAGGCAGCTGAGGGGCCTTGGTCTGAGCCTTGGGCCTGCATGGGCAGAGGCTGGGTGTTCCTGGGCAAGCCCCGGGGCCGCGGGCACAGCGTGCTCAATGCCTCACTCCAGTCAAAGTCCTCTTCGCTGTCAGAGCCCATCTCATCGTAGGCGGATGCCACACTGGAGGCCGCCTCCAGGGCCTGGAACGTGCCACTCTTAGGTTTGGCCAGTAGGCGGGTGGGGGGCAGAGCTCCATCCTTCAGGGCCACCCAGTTCCCATCAGGGCTCTGTAAAACCGGGGCCAGGTCTGTGGGCAGGAGGGAGAGAGAAACCAGAGAGGGGCCGTTATCACCTAGAGCAAGGTAAGGTTGCCATGTGTCACCTCCCCATGACTGGCTTATGGGGGTCTTGGAGAGAAGCTGACTCTAGGAAGTCCAGGAGAGCAAACTAATTGGGCGACAGAGTTTAAACATCCCTGGAAGTCCCTTGAGACCTCACAGGGCCCTAGTGCTTCACAGATGGAGAGAAAGTTGGAGATCTGGCTCCTATTTAATGTCTGCCTGGGTCTCTCGGTCACTTCAGTCTACTCAGAATTGCCCCCTCCTTCCTAGGCTGGCTTGGGTGTAGAAGTGATGAGGAGAGGGTTGCTGTTGGCAGCCCCAGGTTCTAGCTCTTTGGCCTTGGGCCATGGTTTTATCTCTTAGATCCTCAGTTCCCCTTCACCAAGAGGGGAGATGACTCCATCATCCGCCCTGGCCCACTCACAGGTTAACATGTCCTGCCCTTGGCACTTTTACAAGTGTCACTCACCACAGCCTCGTGAGACGGCATGTGTGAAATAATAAGATATATATGTACACACACATAGACATAGTGGTCTCTGCTCAGTTTCTTCTAATGTTTGGTCTTTGACTCAAGTTCCTAACACAGAGCTCCTAAATCCCTTGGAATTTCCTGGGCAATGGGAGTGTCTTTTGTTGTAGTGAGGCGACTCTTGGTGGGCTCCAGGATGGAGGCTGGTCACCAGAAAAGACCAAGCCACGATTACAAGCTTGGAACTTTCAGCCCCACCCCCATTCTCCAGAGAGAAGAGAGGGGCTGGGAAATGACTTAATAATTGATCATTCCTACGTGATGAAGATTCCATAACAATCCCCAAAGTACAGAGTTCAGAGATCCTCTGGGTTGATGAACACGTCCACATGTCGAGAGAGTGGCTCATCCCAACTCCACGGGGACAGAAGCTTCTGTGCTCAGGATCCTCCTGAGCCTTGCCCTATGTACCTCTTCATCTGGCTATTCATCGGCATCCTTTATTGTATCCTTTATTAGGTAACAAATCAGTAAACATGAGTAAGAGTTTCCTTGAGCTCTGTGAGCTGGTCTAGTAAATTACTGAACCTGAGGAAGTGGTCATGGGAACCCCAATTTACAGCCTGTCAGTCAAAAGCACAGGGGTCAACCAGGGACTTGCAGTTGGCATCTGGAGTCACGTGGGACTGAACCTTTAACCAAGGGATCTGACACTAACTCCAGTGAGGTAGGGTCAGAATTGATTTGAATCATAGGACACGCAGCTGGTGTCAGAGAATTGGCTGATACGGGAAAAAAACACACACACACATCTGATCACAGATGTGTTTTGTGTGAGTAGTAGAGGAATAATGGAGAGTTTTTCCTGCTCAGCATGTAAGTTTATTTTCAACTCAAGGCACATGCCTCATTCTGGAAAGGAGCTGAGGCAGAAAGAAGTCGGTATTTCCAATTTCATTTTACAGAGGAGGGAACAAAGATGAGTAAAGTTAAGTGACTTGTCAAAGGTCACAGAGCCTGTAACTGGTTGCGTCGGGACGAGTGCATCTCCACCCGGCTCCAGGCAGATCTTTGTTATCGACTGTGCCATGGAAGCCCTTGGCCGGCAGTAAAGCACCGTCTGAAGGCAGGCTGGAGCGGGTCTCAGTCTGGGGTCATGGTCTGGATTGGCCTAAAGGGGGTTCAGTTCTGCCCAGAGTATCTGTGATGACTAGTGGCTGGGTCCCAAGGGTTGATCTGCATGCCCGGAGGTAAAAGTCACTTTGTCTTGTTTTTGCTGAAGGCAAACAGAAAATGTTTTCTGCCCATGTCCCTGGGGAGTGGGGGTAAGATGACATGGTTCTCCTTTAGCTCTGGGTACCTGGCCCAGCCCTGTGGCCTCGGGCACAGCAGTCGCCAACAGAAGCTGTTTTCCTTTATTAAGAAACTTGCAGGGCTTCCTGGGGATGGGTGATGAGAGCCCCAGGGCTTTGGAGGGGACCATTCCCCAACCTGTGTGTGGACACCAGCAGTGGCAGGACATTGAGACAGGGTCCTACTAGATGCTACTGAGAACACACAGTTTCCACCAATTAAATGATTACTGCTTCATATAATAAAATTAAAGGGTCCTCAGTGCAGCAGGCACTGTGACCAATTCTTTCCATATGTTGTCTCATAATAATCCTCTGCCAGCCCAGGAGGGTCACATCGTTCCATTGAGAGGTCAGGAAATAGGCTCAGAGGTGCTCTCTGATCAAGGTCAGCTGCTGGTAATTGCAATACATAACTGGAGCTCAGCCCTGGATCTGCCTAAATCCAAAGTTCTTGTTCTTTGCCCTGCACTAAAGCAGTCTCAGTTCTGGGTAAGAGGGAAAGAGCGATTAAGAATTTATCTTCTGCTCTGAGCAGGCATGTGTAACACACTTTATGAGTATCACCTTATTTACTCCTCACAGCGACCCAGGGAGGTATTAGCCATGCCCTTTGCACCAATGGGAGAAGCAAGGCTGAGAGACTCACGGAGCTGCTAAATGGGTGAGCAGGCTTGCCGCTCAGGCCCTCTGACTCCGCAGCCTGTGCTCTTCCCATTGTATAAGCTGGCTCCGGGACAGAGTGGGTGACAGAGAATGTGCTGCCACAGGGGCCTGTCTTCGGGGAGGAGGGCTCAGCCATGTGCGTGACCAGCCAGAACACAGTTGGATGGAATGAGGCAAACAGGCCATCAGACCAGGAGGACTCAGGACATGTCTGGGCAGAGACGAGAAAGTGCTCTAGGAAAAGAGGGGCAGAGGAGATGAGGTCTTTGAGGAGCCACTGGGGCTTCACCACGTGAGCTGTGGAGATGGTGGAGACGGACACTGAAGGTGCAGGGAGCAGCAGGAGGAAGGCAGGACCCAGGCCCTCAGGCTCCCAAGAGGACTGTGCTTAAATCCCCACTTCCTGACTCAGAAGAAAGGGGACTGGTCATCCTGCCAGCCTGGGCTGCAGTCAGGCAGTAGAAGTGGAACTGGGTCACTGAGTGGAAAACACGTTCAACCAACATCTGAATCCACTAGGGCTGTGGTTCTGAAACAGTCCTGGCAAGTACAGTGCTCTGTGGACACCGGGAAACACTGATAACTATTTTCATTGACCGTGTAAACATTCAGAAGAGAGGCTAACTGGGGTGTTATTACCATTTACATGTAATGGGCTCTACTTGGTGTGGTGGTAACAGTGGGTCTTTTGGGAAAAACGGGCTTATTTTGCTGGCATTTTCCCAATGCCATGTCCCAAGATTGTCAGTCAGGTGGTGCAGAAGGCAAGGACTAGGGAGACCATCTGCCTTTCTCCAGAAAGGCTCAGGCTCTTGCTCAGTGAAGCTATTAATGGTCAGTAAGTGGCAACATGGATTTTCCGTGTAGCTAACCCTGTGGGTGGCTCTCCCATGAGCCTGGCCCTCACTGCTTCATTGTACACCCTCCGAGCTCCCAACTGCCAGCACTTGCAACTTTTTCCCTGAGGCTTGCTTTGGTTACCAGAGCCTGCGCTGGCTGCCCAAGGGGCAGGGTGGATCCGCAGCCTCCTGGGAGCAGCCCTCCACCAATGGCTGGGGGAGCTATGGATAAGTACCCCTGCTCCCCTGCCGGCCGGGCAGGTGCACACAGTGTCCTCTGCTGGCTCTTGGAGTTCCCCACTGGGGACATGCTCCAGGCACCCACGGGGGCACTCTGCTTGGTAACGAGTCATTTATTGCCTGCCTTCCCTTCCCTGTCTCATCTCCCCATGTCCCTCTCTGTGCTTCCTGGGCTTGCCTACAGATAAACTACAGGTCCGCAGATCTGCATATCAGAGTCTGCAAACAGAGACACCCACACCATGCAGAGCAAACTCAGCCCTGGCTGTGGAGTGTGTTTACTCTGCGGGGAGAGGTATGTCCTCTGGGCCTTACAATCAGTTGCTAAGTCTGCCCTGTGGACCATCTTTAGAGACCCAACTCACATGCTGCTTCTCAGTGGGACATCCCTGGCCTTCTTTCCTTGAGGAGCTGGCTACTTTGTTCTCTGAGCTTTGCAAATAGGCTGTTATTTTTTAACACAAACTCTATTAGTTTATTTTCTTGCTTGTCTGCCTTGCACCTCAACTCTGACGGTGAGCTCCTGGAGGGCAGGGCCACATCTTTTTCACTGCCGTACCCGCAGACCCTGGCTAGTTCTGGAACCCATCCTGGGTTTGTCAAGACTACTTGTTAATGAACACAGGCACCCACAGGCCGTAGGGGCAAGACTAGGCAGACTCTCGATGTGTGGCTCTCTGTGAGCCCTGCTGTCTGCAGCCTCTCCTGGGGCCTTGGAAGAAGCCAAAGAAGGAAAGCTGCTGGTAATGCCACTCTGTGCCTGGCTCCAGGGTTGACTGTGTTGTAAAGGTGGCCCTGGACCTGCCTCCAACACCCACTATATGGAGGGCTGGGATTCAGCCGATTGCCGCCTCCTCTCTTCTCCTGCCTCTTATAACTCTGGGCTGCCATATTCCTCTGGGGAAGCTAGAAGTTGGCCAACTTTTATCTCAGCAAAAGTGTACATGGCTCCCTGAATATCTGACCCCATGAAAACCTGGGTTGTCAAGCTGCATTGTCGGAACTGCTCAAAGCTGTATCTGGGCTCCAATACCACATTCTCTTAGGCCATTGGGAATATCCTTCTGGGACCCTGCTCCTCTCTGCCTTCTCCTTTCTCCAATTCTCACTCTTTCGTGATTGTGCGGACAACAATCAGTGAGCAACTCAAGAGCAGGGCCAGTCCCCTGATGTTTACTCCCCAGCACTGAGCACACACTGTGCACACACTAGATGCTCAGTCAAGGTCTATAAAATGAAAACGTGGTTTGGGCAAAACTCATTAACTGCTGTAAGGCCTGTCCAGACTGAAAGGGGAGTTGCTGTGGTTTACTCAGCCCACGGTGTCCCTAAGACTGACCCCAACTGTGGACTGACAGGCTCCGGAACCAACCCTTCCCCTGAGGCATAAACAGAACTGCTGAAAATAGCTCAGTGGACATTAACCTTCGGAGATGACTTCTACCTCTGGGCCTCCTCTGTTCTACATTTCTGCTCCGCTGAGACTCAGCCATGCCCCGGGAATCATCTGCTTCCTGCTAAACATATCAGACATCCTTCATGACCTCCGGGGTAGGCCTGGACCTTTTAGCATGTCACAGCTGAGCACTGCTCAGAAAAAACAGCAGTTTTCTATGCAAGAGCTTTATACCTATTTTTTTAAATCTCCACCCTAAGAGATGCATGGATTTCAGAGCACAGTTTGAAACCTTTTTGCGTGTGTGATGCTGCTGAACTAAGTTTCATGTTTATCTGTATACAACTGGTAAATTATACATGGGTGCCCCCTTTTTTTTTTTTACAGAAAACTGGGTACAAAATCATGTTTAGAAAGCCCAAATCCTTTGCAAATTTATCTGGAATGCTCATAATTCAGTGGGGAACTATTTGGTGAAATGGAGTGTCTTTCAGAAGAGTTTATAATATCCTGCAAATTGTGTTTGGACGTCTGAATTTTGAAATGCTATTTTGTTGTTCTTGTTTTTACAATGGAGAGACACTTGTCATCATGCACTAGTTGAAAAAGCCTACAAACTGGAGCCCTGGTGTTTGGGTTTGGGGAATACATTAGTTGTGGGATCTTGGACAAGTCACTTACCCTCCCTGTCCCTTGAGGTTCTTATCTGTCACACAACACAATGACAGTGCTTAGCAACGCTGTTCGAGGAATAAATAAAATAGTGCGCTCAGATGGACTCTGTACACCATACAGTGATTTTAAAAGGTGGTTATTATTGTTTATTGAAGATCTATTATATGATATTCTTATATGCCCTGTGGAATCTGAAAGTCCCTTCTCTGTGGGAATTTTCAATCCACGGTGAGAGAGAGAGAGAGATAGAGAAAGAAGATGAATAAATGAATGAATATGGATATGTTGGGCAGTGGGGGGAAAGAAAAGCATATCTAGAAAGGAAAAATGCACTATAAAACAAAAAAGCGATATACACAAATAAAGAAAATTTCATGTGCTCACAGAATCTCCACAATTTGGTACTAACAGGTCAGCATGAAAATGATTTCTTTTGGAAAATCTTAAAATGATTGTTAAAAAATATTTAATGATTTTTGATTTTCTGCACTGATAACCATAAAATTTGTTTATATAGCCGTTAGTTAAATTGTCTCCCTTACAGAGTACAAATGATAGCACAATCTTTAAAAGGATATTTCTAAGACCAATATTTTGCTGTTAATTTGTTGCTGTTGTTCAGGAAATGGGTCTAGGTCTGACATATAACATCGCTGTATATAACAACGCTTTCTTCTTGTGAGGACAAATGTGCCTAGCTTCCATTATACGGCATGTGGCATGTGTATTTAGGGGAGGAAAGAACCGAGCTGTGCTGGTGTGGTCTGAGCATCTTTTCTCCTACAGTCATGGGGCCCAAGAGACTACTTGGCCTGAACTCGGGGTGGCGGGGGGCGATGTCAAGGCTCTCGGCTGTTACCCACTTGGTTCCAAGCATCTCACAAGTCTTCTGATGTATGACTTTGGGAAAGTGACTCAGCTAATTTGAGCCTCTTAGTTGTCAGGTATTATATGACTCGACAGTTTTATAAAGGACCGTGTGTCGTAGATGTTGAGGAGTCTCTGGAAAGGCAATTCAACTGCCCTATGTGTAGGTAGGAGATTCTAGGAGAAGGAGCAGGAAGAGGGAACAGCAATGCCGCCCCCAGATGTGGCAGGGACGGCCAACTGCCCATCAACGACTTATGCCCCCGCCCCTCTCATGGCGGAGCCGTGGTGCTGGTGTGCGTCTGCCCAGCCAGGGCTACATTTCCCAGGCTCCCTGCAGCGAGGTAGGGCAATGTGACTAGTTCTTGCCCATGGATGGGAAAGCGGTGTGTGCCATCCCCGTGCTGAGGCGGTTAGGAAGCAGGCTCGCTGCCTTCTCCGTTCCCTCTTCCTCCGTCTGCTGGCTGAAGCCGAAGACCCGGCCGCGGACCCAGCGGCCGCCAGGGCTCCTGCGCTGCAGGCGGGTGGAGGAGCCTCGGGCCTCTGACGGCCTCAACGGCCGGGACACCGTGCTGCACCGCTGGGCGATGAGAACGCGAACTACTGTGTTAAGCTACCTAAATGTTTGGTTTCCTTGTTATAGCAGCGAGTGTTACCCTAACTAATATGTCAGTTTTAGCAAGGACACTCACAAAACCAGACCCGTGCTGGGACTCACATCCCTTTGAATGTTAAAACGCCATGCTCGGTGAGATTAGCATTGCTGGCCTACACGAGGCATGTTCTCCTAGTCCACAGAGAACAGGAAGCTGAAGTGGGGCTCTGCTGTTGAGCGATTGTAACACACTTGCCCAGGAGTCCCCCACTGTCCCACCGTCTCAGCAGGAAAACTGCTCAGGCAGAGAATATGAGCGCCTTACATATTGAATGCTGTGCTAGAGGCCTCATGACCTGGTGGCTCAGCTGCCCCAAATGGGCACCTACCCACTCAGGCTGACAGGAGGAAGAGCTGAGAGGCCACGCAATGGCCAAGAAGCCTCTGAACAGCGCTGTTGAAACCCACAAACCCACCAGACGCTGCTTAAAACAGTTACTTGTCTCCTCCAGTCTGTCCACGCTCTTCCAGCTGGGCAAGGCCGACTCCTCCCTTGGCTGCTGGCTCTGGTCCATCGGCTGCCTCGATGTAGCCTCCAGCGAACAGGTCTTCAGGGCATCTTCTCTGGTGAGTGAGAACGCAGACTGGGACCGCTGGGGAAAGAAAAGAGGGGCACAGAACTCAGAAGGCACAGTCACTGGGAGGGGTGCCTTCAGCTTTCCAGCCGACACTGTACAGTGTGGAGAAGACATGTTTGATGGTATTGGCTTTTCTCGAGTTGAGGCTTAAAAGCTACAAATCAGTACATAATGCTATACGATGGCACACATGGTTCCCCATCTATTCCATTGCAAAGTGGCCAGGACTATGAGATGTAAGAGTCATAGTGGAATCTGACAGAGCCAGTTCTCATACGGCTCCTTCTTACCAAGCCCTTCTCCCAACCAAGATATCTTAGGGCCAAGTGTGTGTGATAGAAAATGAAAGCACCTTCCCCTCGCAGACCTCCAAACCTATGAGTTCCAGCAGTGTAAACAGAAAGTTATAGCACAGCGTAAGTGCTACAATACATAAGTGAGCCAAGTATGGTCAGTCCACAAGCTTAGAACTATTGCAACATATTCCCATTTAGCGTCTGAAGTAAAGAAAGGAAAATTTACACTAACCAAAGGAGAAGTGGTAGAAATGAGATTTCAAATGTCAGGAAACATGTTTGAATTTTATCGCATATATATGTTACAAATATCTATAGAGAATCTGAAGCTCAAATGTTATATATAAAGAATTTCATCAAACAGAAGGAGATCAATATTTTTCCTTTGTCGTTTAATGAAGGAATTATCTTTTATGGGTGATTTATTTTACTCTTTTTATATTGATAGGCCGAGGGAAAGGGCAAAGCCCCTGGAAGCATCTATGACTACAATCTGAAACAAAGGACTGCCTCTAACTCAGGCCCCTAAGCAGTCTGTTGCCACCTGCTGGCAGGCCTCAACACCAACAGCCCCACTGCCTTCTCTCCCAGGGAGAAACCAGCTCATCCTGCTAACTTTCTTCCTCTCCCACCACAGGTGCTAAGAATAGGAGACAAAAGGGGAGCATTTGCAGAGAGCTGTGGGCAGGGTCCTGGGGTGGGTGGAGTCAGCTGTACCTGGGCTCCAATACCACCTCTGCTACAACACTTTGGCCAAGTGACTTAATTTCTTGAGAGATGTGGAAACTTAACCTTGCCCTGCACACAGTAAATGCATAATAAATGGGAACTTAAAAAAAGGTGTTTGTGAATACCAACGAAAAATAGCAAACACCAGCATCAGGATATTTGGGTGACAACACTGATTAGAGTTTGAGGAGAGAACAATGCGCTCAGTAGCCTCGCCCTGAAGGATGGTTAACTAGTCTGAGAAAAGTCACAGAGACAGCTGAGGATCAAGGTGCAGCATGTCCATCATCACAGGCCAGGCCACACCCAGGAGCCCTCAAATACAAGGCATCTGGCAAGCGTTGTTGGAGAGGGTGGTGCAGGCCAGTTCCGGTTCAGAAAGAGTTGTAGGAATCCTCTTCTGCTTCCCTCCACAAGACCTTGAGACTGATCTAGGAGGAAGATGGGCTTGCAGAACAAATATGGAGCCCTCTAAGCTGTGTCCCAAGGGTCACAACCTGCCTCCCATCCCTGTGAATACAGAAGAGAGCACGATGCACCTCCAGACAGCCTTTCGATGCAGCGGTCAAAGGGTAACAGCCCGGGGGCCGACGAGCTCTCCCCAACTGATCAATGTGACAGATTCTGTGTGCATTCAGTTCAAGCAGGCCATGGTCTGTGGGAACCCCCTCCCTAAGCTGGGCTCGGGTCCTGGGCTTCCTCTATGCTTGTGCTACACCGCACTCCTTTGCAAACAACTGATTTTTGCCTGGTGTTGTCACTAGACTGTCAGCAACTGAGGACAGTTAGTGGCCTGTTAATGGTGACATCCAAGCCCCTGGCACAGTAACTGAAACATGATGGAAATCAATGAATGTTTGCGGTGGGGTGAATGTAATTTGGGGTGGGCTACAGGATGGGTAAGGTTTCAGGATAATAATCAGAAGTGCCTGATTATTATTATTATTTTTACTAACTTCTTGGATAAAACTAGGAACAAGAGAAAGAAATAAGAAGCCACTCACTGTCATCCTCACATCGTGGAGGGCAAGGTCTTACTCGGAGGAGACCCAAGCTAACACACACATGACAGGTAGCTGTCAGCTGGTACCACTTCCGTCATTCTGAGGGCACAGCAAGCACTGATCCCACCCTAGTGTCCTGAACAGCTTTGATGTTCGACAACAACCAAGGTTTTAATGGGGTTGGGGCTTCAGGGAGCCATCTATGATTTTGTTAAATCCTTGACAGATGCGTGGCTATGAGGGAGGACAGAGAGCAAGGCTGATGGCCTACTGACAGGTGAAGTTAGTAAAACTGAAGGAAAAAACCCTCCTATGGCAAACCCTCGTGTATTCAGGGGACATACCCTTGACACTCTTCCCACCTTGGACTGGCAGGAAGATCCCCTTCTGGGAGATCACATGGGACTTTCTATACCCTGCTACAGCCGTACCCCAACTTGTCGTCTCTTCCACAGACTGTGAGCTCCTCGAAGGCAGGAATGGTCTTTGGGTGTGATCCTCAGTCACATGTTTGTGACTGAATTTGCAGGATGTAAGACACAGGTGTGGCCCTTGAGGAGCTGACAGCCTACTGCCTGGAGCAATATTACTAAACCCTCACCTTCCTTTTTACATCCCCAAGATTCTCATGAAAATCACTGAATACATGTTTACAAAAGGGGAAAAATAACATTTAACATTTCATTTTTCAGTGGCTCAAACAGTATTTTGTGGTGTATGTGAGTCTGTAGGAGGTGGCTGGGGTCCATTTTTATGGGACAAAAATGCTCCCTTCACCTACAAAAGCCAAGACCAACAAAGGAACAGTTCCTCCCTGGTCACAACAGGGAAACGGAATCTGTGTTTTTCATGAGAGAGTTGTGGATGCCAGGATTTTGTAATCTATTCCAGGAAAGCCATTGTTTCACGTTAGAAAAAAACTACCCTGACAATCCCTAAAAGCCCCAGTGAGCTGTCTCCAACAGGTCTCAGGACACTGCTGGCCCACATCTCCTGCCAAGGTGGAAAAGCCCCAGTTTGGAGACCCAGACTTGGTTTTGCTAAAAACTTGTTGCAATGAACACATGGCCCAGCAGGTGGAGCCACAACAACACTTTTACTGGCCAGTTCAACCTCAGCGGCTCCTGGGAAGTGATGGGATTTACTTGAGTAATTTATCTGCTCCTTATCCTGGCTGGACCCTCAATGCCCACCTTTCTTTGCCACTCACAGCCTCTGATTTTCTTTCCCTCCTTTCCCACCCTAGGGTCCATTGAAGAAGCAGGGCTGGTGGTGTCAGGAGGGGCTGGCCTGAGTACCAGTGTCTGCACATCCACGCAGGGGGGCTGGGAACGGTTCATGGAGTCCCTGGGTCCAGGAATGTTAGCATGCCAGCAAAGCCTTGCAAGGATGGACTTGAGTATTTGAGGTTTCAAACACGCCCTGCCTCTTAACTCTTCAGGTACCAACTAACGGGTGGTATGTTAGGTAGTGGGTCAATGTCAGCTCCTCCTCTTGCTGTGTGGGATCTTGGGAGGAATTTCAACTGTTCTAAGCCTCGGTTTCCTCAAGTAAAGGGATCAGCGTCATGCCTGGCACACAGAAAGCACTCATATTAGTCAATATTAGTCAAATAAGAGCATTTATTAAGCTCTACCACTGAGCTAGCCCAACATATCCATTCTCTCACTCAATCTGATTGGGTGCACAAGAGTAAACTGAGGCAGGGCCAAGTAGTTTGCCCCAGCACACGGGTGGTCAGTGGCAGAGGCAGGGTTTGAGCTCGGGTCTGTCTGGTTCCAAGCTGATGCTCGTCTGTGCCCTCTTCGTGCTGTGCCCGAGCCTCTGCTGGAAGCCTGGGAACAATTACACTCCTGGCGAACATGCTCCAACCCAGCAGGACTTTCCGTCTGAACCAGCTGGCTCAGAAGCTCTGGGTGAAACACACAGTGTGATCACCAGTTACCTCTGTTGTCCCTTCCTTTGCAGCCGCTGCCTCCCCTGTGTGGGCAGCAGCATCGTGTTCTACCTGTGTCTCCTGGGGTGGTATACTGTTGCTATGATTAACATCGTGGCCAACAGGGAAGGCTCCCTGAGGCACCAGTCATGGCTTCAAAATAGTCTTTGTTTTCAAGGATCCCACAACATAAAACAGGGAGAGAATGTTTTCAGTATCAAGGGTTTGAGGGTAAAGGGATCCATAACAGTGGTCATACAGAATGAACAACTAAGATGTAGCTGTCTTTTATTGGTAGGGTCAGGCATAACCATTAAATTCAATCCAATAATTATACCAACAATAAAAAATGCTTTAGGTCTAGACTCTAGCCAGCCAAAGGAGAGAGAGAATGGGAGGGAGGAAATGACAGAGACACAAAGAGAAAAGGCGGAGGGAAACAGAAAGGGATAGAGAAGAGACGAGAGAAAGAGTCAGACGGAGCCACATCCTAGTCACTGAGCACATCGTAAGTGCCTGGCCGCTGCTGTCATCGTCATTCTTATCAATAGGATCATCATATTATTACAGAGATGCCTTTTCATATACATGCGCCCAAAGAGACAGGCCTTAAATGGATTATGACCCCTGCACTAGTGCCTTTTAGGATATTGCATTTTAAGGCTTTGAAAGCCGAATTACACCAACCCCGCTGATGGCTGAGAATCACACAAAAAAGGAGGAAATTAAAAAAAGAACGATCACGCCGAACTTTCTTTCAAGAAAACAGATGAGAAACCCTGTGTGAATGGGGGTGGATTAAGTTTGGGTTTTGCAGTTGAGCCCAAGTAGCGGGGCCTGCAGCTTCTGGGATTCTGCACAGTTATTCCCTGAGCCAGAGGTGTCCAGGCTGTTGGAGAACTGAGGAAAAAGGAGGAAGCACTGACAGGAGGCCACAGGTTTAGGGCCCTCCACGGTCTCAGGTCAGGGAGCCCTCCTGAAGACAGCATAAAGAGGTTGTCCCTTAAGCCTGCAGCCTATTGGCATCCCCTGAGGAGACAGGGGTCAGTGCAACTGTGCTCAGTATACAGATGCCCAGGCTCCACTCCAGACCCCGGGAGTCAGAACCCCTGGAGTGGGGCTCGGGCAGGTGATGCAGACGGTGTCCAGGGCGAGAACAGCTGATGGAAAGGCGGAAAGCCACCTTCATGAAGTCCCCAAGAATCTCCCGTTGGCCTGCTGCTTCGTGTCCAGGCTCTGGTCAGTGTTCAGGTGCATTTCTGCTTTTATGCCCTCTGTTTACCACTTCTTCATCTAAACTCCTAGATCAGGGCTATGTAATAAAACTTCCTGGGAGGATGCAAATGTTCCGTATCTACACTGTCCAATATGGGAGCCACCAGCCATGGGTGCTATTGAGCACTTGAAATGTGCCAGGTGACTGAAGAACTGGATTTCTAATTTTACTTAATTTTAATTAATTTAAGTTTAAATAGTCACTTATGTCTTGTGACCACCATATTGGACAGTGCAGCCCGAGAACCTCTGAAGTGAAAGGGACCTTAGTGATCACTGAGCCCACAGATCTCATTTTGTGGCTTAATCGCTGCCGTGTCCATTCTGACTTGTGGTGCTGGAGCCCACTGTCCCACATCTCCAATGACATACAGAGAGTGTCTCTGGTCTCTGTGAGATGGCAGGAATACCATAGCCAGTGTTAGCTGTAGGTGTGACAAGGAGACCCGGTGAACATCTGATGGGAAAGCAGGTATTTCATATCCAGAGTTTTCCAATGAAACAGGAGACAGCAGAGTGCAAGAGATGCTTGGAGCCAGGAGACATGGGTTTTAGTCCCAGCCCAACCACTTAGTGTTCTAGTGGCTCGGGCTAGCTGGGCCTCGGTTTACTCCTCTATAAAATGGGGGATAATGTAGGATGCTCTCACAGGCTCTAAGGAAATCATAGTGTGCACATAAAGTTTATACAAAAGAAAGATAGTGGTCGTGTGTATTCCTGTAGATGTTTGCCAATCCCTCTGCTATGGCTATTATTACTTAAGTCTCCCATGGTGACTCCCAAGCCTCTCTGTGCGTGGGGTTTGCATGAGAACTTCAGTTACTGTGCAGAGCTGCAGCCAGCTGATGCGACAGGAAACTCAGGAGCGTGAGTTTCTGGGGAGTGAGGTCTTCTCAGTGCCGGAGAGGTGGACAGGGTCAGGAAGGAGCTTTTGGCCTCCAGTGGAGGAAGAGCAGGACAGCCCCAAGATGCAGCGTGTGGCCAGAGACGTCCAGTGGGTGAGCTGAGATAGTGGACGAGAAGCGAGATGAGGCCATTTGGTTGTGTGTGGGAGGGGAGGAGAGGGGGTACCTGTGAGGACCTGAAGTGGGGGCTGGGCTGGAGGGGACAGGGTGGCTTGTGAATCGGCAGTAGGTGGGTCAGTGATATGGCAGCAGCTGCTGCTCTCTGGGCCTGGAGCCTAGCTGACCAAACACGGTGAGGTTCAGCTCACAACTCACAGGGGGACCTTGATGGAACAGTGACCTTGATTATGAAATGTAGAAATAAGGCAATAAGAAGAGGAACAGTAACTATCATTTAGAGGATGACACTTACATGCAAAGTAGCCAATATCACTTATTTCATCACCTGCCACTGTGCCCCTCAGTCACCATTCTCCAGATATATGACATACTGTTTCTTGAGCACGCTAAGTTCCTTCCTGCTCAGAGCCTCCGTGCATGCTGTTCTCTCTGTGGGAATGTTCTTCCTCCTATGGCTCCCAAACCACTCATTTTTCGAGCCTTCGTTTCATGTCACCTCCTAGGGAAGGCTGTCCCTGACTGCCCCCGCCCCCGAGCTTTCAGCTGTCTCAGTACTCTCTCCTTCCATCCTCTTGGTTCCTCTTGACAACAATGACTGGAATGTGCACCCCCGTCTTTCTGTGCGGTCTGCTTGTTTAGGGCATGTCCCATCACTAGATTATGGTGGAGTCTACCGTATCCACAGGAACCTTGTCTCTTTAGCCCCTGGCACAGCACCTTGCACACAGTAGAAGCTCAGTAAGCACTGGGTTAACTGCACTAGGAACCCTCAGAGCCATCCTTTGGGGCAAGCCCTATTATGCCTATTTTACAGACACGAACTAAACAGCTGCTCAAGGGCGAATCCAGAATCCCATCCCCAGAAATGCCAGAGGCAGAGCTCCCACTACTTGCCTCTGACCCCTCAGCTCACTGCAGAGTCTGGGGTGCTGCAGGGACCTCCATCTCCTAGAGACCCCCAAACTTGACTCTTGTAGTTTGCAGAGAATACTTCAGAAAGACTCTCCAAATGCTGGCGCCGTGGAGCCCGCACGCAGCCTGCACCCCGGAGCTGCAGGGCTGAGCCAGTGAAACGCTGGGCTGATGGTCTACTTGATGGTCATGTGTCCCCTCACTGCCGGAGGGGCCCTCCCTTCTCTGAATTCCTGCTCCCTTTCCAGTCTCCACCTTTCAGCTGAACACCGCACTGTAAACTGTCTGTATCTCTTCCTGCCTTGCTAACCAGATTCTAAAGTCCGGGAGGGCAGGGACGGAGGCTCTCTTTATTCTGTTCTCGGGGCTGAGCTACAACAGGAGCCGTAAAGCAAGACGACAGTGTGTTGATGAGGGAAGGTTCCTGCTAATCAATCAATGAAGCCAAATCTCTGATCAAGCGGTTAAGACACGGCTCGCCGCCCCTCGCACCTGGTGGCTTGTGAGTGCACGGGAGAGGTCGTGCAGGTGATCATCACTGACCATCACCCCCAAAACTGCGGGTCTACCATGCGGCTGCCCTGCACACCTCTTTCCAATCTGTTCATGGAGGGGATGAAGGCCACTCACCCCGAGGAGGAGCAGGGCAAACACCTGGCAGTGCTTTTCCCACGTCTGGCTTTCCAGTTTTCAATCGCACCTGTGTGTTCCCTGTCCCGTGCCCCGGGCTATACCATGGGCACCTATGGCTGACAGACCACAGCCCTGCTGGCAGCCCCACCCCCAGGCCCTGCTGAATCTCGCACAGAAGGCCCAGCTTTCAGTCTTGGCCTCTCTCCCCCTCCTCTCCCAGCATCTGCCCGTCCTCTGCTGGCGCTGTTTAAACAAATAACCAAGGATTTTACAGGCATGGTGACTCTGCTGCAGTCATGGTAGGCTCAGACCCTTGGGTCACAGGAAGGCCACTGTGCTTTGTGACTTGGACCTTGGCTTAATTTCAGGGTGACAGATGAAAAGGTTGACCCATATCACGACCTCCCTACCATGTCCAGATATGGCAGTTTTGGTGGCTCAAAGTGCAGTGGCACTTCTCTCCCTGTCACTTATCAGTTTCAGTAAAGCCAGTGATCTCAGTTCTAAGAATGCACGTGGCTCTCATAAAGCTATTTTTTTCACAGGATTCAGTACAACTCTTTGTAGAATGAATTTTAAAAATGCCAATTAGCATCTTTATTTTTCCTAAATTGGTCTCTGTGTAAAAACCCACCTCGATACACTCCAGTTGTCTGTCTGTATTCATTTTCTCTCCTCTGTCACCCCTCCTGGCCCCCACTCACATATACTTCCTCAGCTTCTCCGCCCGCCCTTTGGGAACCTTTATGCTATCTGGTGGGCACACGAGTCAAGGAAAGATGGTGAACAGGGTGGTGCCCCCATTTCTATGGGGAGCATGTGCAGGACGCCTGTGTGGGGGCAGGGCCGGCACTGGTTGCAGACTCACCCAGAGGGTGGTGGAAGCTTGGTGGCCTCCTGGGGAGGCTCTGGTCCCCTCGCCAGCTACCTTGGCACTGCAGCTCTGGGGCTGGGACCACTCTGGCTCTTCTTCCACCTGCTGCTCGCTTTTGTTCTTCTGTTTTCTTATGATCTGGGGGTGGGGTGGGTGACAAGAGGGAGCAAGTTAGTGGAGAGGCCTCTGGATGCCATGTGGGTGGCTGGGACCATCTTTGGGAAGTTGTTTTAGCCACATAAGAGCTTGGTCTCAATGGAATACCACTCTGTTTCAGATCTGCCTTATGATAAAACAGCACAACTATAGCCTTGAACATTCTACAGGACTTTACAGTTTACAAGTAATCTTTTTATGATGTTAACAACTTCTCTTTACTAAGTGCCTACCATGTGCCAGATTCTGTGCTAGGTACTTCATATGCTTTACCTCATTTAATCCTCGAAATAAGCCTAAGAGCCACACACTATAACTCTCCCCATTTTACAGATGGGGAAACAGGCTCAGAGAAGTTAAGTTAAGGCCACACAACTAGTGAATAGTGGAGCTGGATTTCAAACCCAGAGTCTCTGGTTGTAAATCCTGATTTTAGGAAGCCTCTGGAATGCCTAAGGGGGGGACAGATACCAAGAGTCATCAGGGATGGCTTCAGCTCATTTGTACCACTTACTATTTTGGGCACAGCCATTTGGATTTAATGAGTCCATTTGTACAAAGGTCTCTGGGTCTCCCAACTTCCTACAGGCAGGAAGCAGCCGAGAAAATTACTGAGCCACCGTATTGAGCCACTAGATGGGCATATTCTTCAATGCCTTTCTAGGCCAGACAAGATGGTGAAGAGGAAGGCTGACACCCAAGGAAAGCAGTGAACTGAGGTGCCATGGGACAGACCCGGGGACTAACCAAGGTACATCCTCTCCAGAGTGGGGACCAGGTCACATGAGCCCCATGGGATTTCAGAATTGCTGTGGACCAGTGACCTCCTGTGCCTCCCATCTCTGCCGGTGGGTGGGTTAGTGCTGTTTTCCCGTCCGTGATCCAGCATTGTGTGTTGGGTCTGTGGGGGCAGATAACTTGCTTGCTTAGTTCATAGGTCTCCAGCTTAAAAGGAACTGCATCTGGATCGAATGTACTTTGAACTGTGATTGGATAGACATGTGGGGGTCTTTGAGTTGGGTGAGCATATGTGGCATGTGGAAGGGACATGAATTACTGTGACCAAAAGGGAAGACTGAATTTCTTCAATGCTCCCTGTACACAGCCCTTTGTCGTGTGACTCTGCAGTCCCCTCAGGACAGGGAGAATACACTTTCCACGCTGGGCTTTGGGTTGATTGGGTGCCTTGCTTTGCCCAATCACATGTGAGGAGGGAGCTGTAACTGGGTGTCATGGCTGAGCCTAGGCCTTAGTAGACATCAGTCTTCCTCTTGCTCTCCGTGCCTTGGTCACAGCATGCATAGCTAATGTGCCTTCAGATGTGCCCTAGAGTGGACATACTGCTTGGACTTGATCCCAACCCACTGCTTGAGATGGAGCCGCTGCAGTGCATGAGCAAGAAAGGAATTGTGGTATAATAAAAAATATATTTGGCCTTTGACCCTGGTTCTTGGCACAGAGCTTCAAAAACCCTTGTAATTCTTTGAGTGATATGAGTGTCTTTGTTATGCTAATGAGATGACTCTTGGCCGGGGCCACCAGATAGATGGAGGCTGGTCACGTGGGAAAAACCAACCATGTGAACCATGGAACTTCCAGCTCCACCCTCAGCTCTGGGGAGGGGAGAGGGACTGGAGCTTGAGTTCAGTCAGGTGGTCAATGATTCAATCAGTCATGCCTACTTAATGAAACCTCCATAAAGTCTCTGAAGCAATGAGGCTCAGAGACCTTCCTGGCTGGTGCATACACTGATGTGTTGGGAGGGTGGTGGGCACAGAGTGGGCAAGAAAGCATTGCACACCCCCTCCCCAGACCTTGTGGTCCTGGGTATCTCTTCATGGGGCTATTCATTTGTGTCCTTTATAATAAACTGGTAATTGTAAGTATCGTGCTTTCCTGAGTTCTGTGAGTTGTTCTAGCAAATTATCTAACCTGAGGGGGGTCACGGGAATCGGAATTTGTAGTAGGCTGGACAAAAGCACAGTAACTTGGAGAAACCTGAGACTTGCAGCTGGCATCTGAGGAGGGGGCAGTCTTGTGGGACTGAGCCCTTAACTTGTGTGGTCCGTGTAGTTAGTGTCAGAATTGGACTAAATCGTAGGACAGCCAGTTGGATGTGAGAGAATTGGCTGTGGAACATAGAAATAATCCTTGTTTAAAGCCACAGAGTTTTGGGGTGGTTGTTTTCTCAGCAATAATTAAATGATACACCATGTCAAGGACAGTTTAGGACATAGAGGTAGCAGGGAGTGACTGTAAAGCTTCTGCAGCAAGACTATTTGAGAAGGATGAGAAGAGGACATGGACACACACACACACACACACACACACAAAACCTAGGAAATGGGAAGCCAGTGAGTAGTCTGCTCAGGGCTGAGTTCCCGGCTCCTCACCCACTAGCTCAGCCCCCTAAGGCAACCCCATTCACCCTGCTCGGATTTGGCAGTACAGTGCAGTCTGTCTGCGTTGGCCCCCAGAGCACAACAGGCAAAAGTGACAAGGCACAGAAATGGTGCCCAAGGCCCCAGCAGTGTCCGTGGTTGCTCTTCAGCTCTCCAGAGGCCCTGGTCCCACCAGGGTGGTCCATGGCAGTCATCGGGATGCCAGGGCCTGCCTACCTTCTGCAGGATGGTTGTGGCCAGTTCCTCAGTCAGCTCCTCCTTGTGGTCCCGCAGGTAACTGGCCTCATTCTGCTTGTCCTGTGGAGGGAGGGAAGAGAATGGCCATGTGCTATGGGTGGCTTTGGGGGTCTTGGCAATCACTTTCTTGGGAATCCTGACCACAAATGCAGGGGAGGTTGGGCACCACTCTAGTCAAGGACGCTACTGGACATTGGTTTCCTGACAATCTGCATTTTCTCCTGGTGGCCAGGATCCCACCCACACCTCCCCCAGAGAGGACAAGGGGGGCCATACCAGGCTGTCCCCATAGGCTTCTGCTTTGGAAATTGCCTCCTCGATGGCCTCTTCAGCCACCCGTAGGGCGACAGCCAATGTGTCCATCATGCTATGTCCTAGACAGGAAACAGAACATAGACCACTTTCTGAAAGGTTGTGGTTGTTCCACTTTAGGTCTTCTGCCTAAGTCTTTCAGGGCTCTGGGACAAGCCCCACACTGCTTATCCTGGCACACAGGTCCCTTGCCTTCTCCCCTGCCTCACTGCCTCCCACTTATTCTCATCCCCGCCCCAGACACAACAACTGAGATTCTTCAAGAGCTAACGTCTCTCTCTTCATGACTCCATTATCTTGTTTCCCCTCCTTCTGGTCCCCTGCTCTGTTACTGGGCTAGTTCCAGGGGGCCCCAAGGCTTGGTCCAAGGGTTCCTCCTCTGAAAAGCCTCCTCCCATCCCTCCTGCAGCCTTGGCTGGATGTCCATCTGGGGCTCTGGGCTTGCTTCCATCAGAGCCAGAAAGCTCCACCCCACCGCCCCTCCCACAGGTCATTCTCAGAGAGCAAGACTGGAGCACAGTCACTGCTGCGGCCCAACACTCAGCGTAGCTCCAGGCACACAGAGTGGCTTCATGACAACTGAACTAAAGGACTTCATGTAAGGAAGTAACGATTCTTCATCTACTGTTTCAGATAAAGATTATATTTATTTTGTGCATATGATGTATCATCGTGATGATAGGGATGAAAGTTATTAAATGTTCTAAGGACACTGGGCTGTACAAATGGTTTAATGTAAATACGAAATCCATAGAGGAAATTTTTAGACTCTAAACCAGTCTAATAATCAATAACACTGGCCAACCTCACCAAGGGTGGGCCCCGGGCCGAGCATCACAGACCTGATCACAGTTAATCTTTACAACAATCCATTGAGTAGGGACCATTTTACAGAGGAGAGAACTGAAGCACAGAGAGGTCAAATAACTTGCTGAAGGTTACACAGTCAGACAGTAAGATAGCTGAGATTTGAATTCAGGACTCTCTGTCTCCAAAGCCATTGACTTTAACCACAAACATGAGATTAGTACAAGCTAACATGATTTTTAAAAATAATGCTATCAGGGGCCGGCCCGGTGGCGCAGCAGTTAAGTTTGCATGTTCTGCTTTGGCGGCTCGGGGTTCGCGGGTTCCGATCCCAGGTGCAGACATGGCACTGCTCAGCAAGCCATGCTGTGGCAGGTGTCCTACATATAAAGTAGAGGAAGACGGGCATGGATGTTAGCTCAGGGCCAGTCTTCCTCAGCATAAAGAGGATGATTGGCAGTAGATGTTAGCTCAGGGCTAATCTTCCTCAAAAAAAATAAAATAAATAATGCTACCATATTTTTAGTGAACATGTGTTTTGCTTATGGCAACAAACCGGAGGAACTGTCCCCAAATCAAAGGACTTCCACAGGTGACAACATTCTTTTTGGAGCTAAGTGCTTGGAAGAATTCTGCTGTCCTGAGGTAGTAGATTTTTGCTTCTTACTTGAAAGTGAGAATTTCTATCATCTCTTTCTCAGTTTGTCCTAGGAGCCCAACTTGGGTCAGGCACAGGAAAGTGGGTCTACAAGGGCTGCGTGCCTGGGTCTCCTTTTCCCCAACTTCAACTTGTTGTTTCCATTTATAATCTGTTAGTCATGCATTATTTAACACACGCAAATCTCCTGAAAGCTGCCTCAAATTCTTCGTAGAATGAGACAAGGTGTAAATACATCAAGTAATTAATCAATCCTTCAATTAAAAAACTTAATTCAAGCTTCTTAGGCTCCTAAAGACACAAACGTGTACAGAAAGCGGCATTTGGCAAACATAATAAAACATCCAAAACCAACCCAGTTAAAGTCAAAGCAACGTAGCCAGCCAATGAGTACCTCTCCGGCCAGCTCTAACAGTAACGTAGAGCCGAACCCAGCTCAGGGCTCTGCACACCCCAGGGTGGCTGATTGAACACACAGGTTTTCCAATGTTTCTCTAAGTAGAGTCTATAAAATCTAAGTTGTCATCACACTAAGTGCTCCCTGGAGACAGACATTGTACCTCTCATCTCTCTTCTTCAAGATGCCAATCAGTGCATTTTTTACAGAAGAGGTGCCCCACAAATTTGCACTGAATCAAAATTTACCAAGTAGCTCCTGAGTGCTAGATTCTGTGAGGGCTCCGTGATGCCCCCATGGACAAGCTGAGCCTACACTCTCGTGTGTCTCCCAAGCTACTGGGTGACCAGGTGCATGGGTAACAGCTAAGAGGCCTGCAGTAGAGCCTGCGATGGGGATAGTTAGCAGCTTCCACAGATCCCCGGGAAGGAGGAGCCTGGAGCACAACCAGAAGGGCTTTGAATGCTGTGTTTATGATCTTTGGATGAGGGTGAAGTGGAACACCGAAGATGTTTTGGCTGAAGGTGATGTCTCCGGTTGGTGTTTCAGAGAGAAAAACTGGCAAGGGCGTGGAGGAAGGCTAAGAAGGCAGAGGCAGAAAGATCAAGTTCAGAGGACCAGTTAGGTGGTGGGGTGGTTAGTTTCATGTGTCAACTTGGCTAGGCTACAGTACCGAGTTATTTCATCAAACACTAACATAAGTGTTGCTATGAAGGCATTTCATAGATGTGGTAAACATCCACAATAGTTGACTTTAAGTGAAGGAGATCACCCTCAAAAATGTGGGTGGGCCTCATCCAATCAGTTGAAAGGCCTTAGGAATAAAAACTGAGGTTTCCCAGAGAAGAAATCCTGCCTCAAGACTGAAGCATCAACTCCTGCCTGAGTTTCCAGCCCGCAGACCTACTCTATAGATTTTGGGCTACAAGTTCTGGTATAGAGCGCTTGAGGGATGGGTTGGTGAAACAATCAGTAAGTTGATTAAATGCTCCTAACCCTGTAATTTTGTGCAGAGAGCAGGCTGTGCACCCTGTGGTTTGGAAATAATTGTTCTCAGATTTTCATTTTGACTGGACTGTTCAGGTTGCCCAAAGGGAAAAAAATTCCTAATTCTAATAAAATAAACTTTTTTATTCTATTAAAAAAATGCCCCACAATTGTGCAAGCCAAGTCCTTAAAATGAAATAAACCTCTTTGTATGTGGGGGTGTGTGTATCCTATTGGTTCTGTTTCTCTGGAGAACACTGACTGATACAGATGGACACTGAAATTAATATTAATATAGGAGAATTGTGGGTGGGAAGGTCCTCAGATCATGGGCCTCAGAATGGAAAGAAAAGGAAAGGACTGGAAATAGAGCTAACAGGAACGTGGCTGATGGAGTGGACACAGGGAGGGGGACTGAGGGAAAGATAACTGTTGCTGGTGGACCCATGTGGCTGAGGAGCTTGATTAGGACATGCTGAGTTTAAGATCCCTGGAGGATCTACGGGTCCTGATGGCCAAGCATCAGAAATCTGAGTCTAGAACTCTGAGCTGAAATCAGGGCTGGGCATTCCAGACTCAGGAGCAGATGGAGGTGCACCAAGGCTATAGGGGGGTGTGTGGTAACCCAGGGAGAAGTTTCAGGCAGCAAGGATGATAGAGGACAGGACCTTCATGAGAAGGCTCCCAAAGGGAGAACAGAGAGAGTGTGGAAGAGCTGTGGGGGCCACAGCAGCAGGGGCACTCAGGAGGCATGGGTTCTCAATGTCCGGTGCTTTGGAGAAGGAGCTGAAGTGTTGGAGAAGGTTTTGTTTGAAACTAGAAGTTTGCTTTGCTGTTAACCTCTGCTCTAAGGGGACTATTATATTGGTATAAAAAAGTAGAAGTTAATCAGTGAATGATAAATTCTTTGTAAGAATATTTTAATTTGAATTGCACAAGTGTATTGATTATCATATTCCAACTCCAGAAGGACCCATTAGTAGATCATAAAGTATCTAGTGGTCAGGCAGCAAATGTACTTCTCTAGGCCACATCTTGGATATACTCACCTATTTTGATGATGGATTCACATAAATGGCAATAGCAAGAAGACCCATGGAGACTCCCACACAGCAACAAACAGTAGTCTCCAGCTGTTACTATGTAACTGGGAGATCCTAACAGTATCTGAAGATGTTTCTATTCCTCCAACTTCCCATTAGTTGTAAACTCTTAAGCCACCTTACCTTCTGACTGTCTGTAAAATGTTGAATCGCTGCCTGAAATACTTCCTTCATTCTCCAGGTTCGCCTCAAAAAAGCTTCCTCCTGTAGGGGTGAAGGGAGAGAACACGATTATCAGATTTCTTCGGTGAGCGCTGAATTGGCAGATCACCATTACCTACTTTGATTAAGTTAGCCTTGCAAATAGGTTTGGGGAATCACTGGGTTCCACAGTAACGCTACAATTTTTGACCAGTCACGTTTTTCTTCTCACACTGATTCCTGATGTAGCATTGTTGCCAACTCCAGCTTTCTTCCAATACCTTCTGTGGAGGCAATGTGGAATCAAAGACAGAACGATGGACTGAAGTCAGACAGATGTGAGGTCAATTCCTGGACCTGCAAATTACTAGTCGTGTGACCTTGAGCAAGTTAATCTGACTCAGTTTCCTTACTCGAAATAGAGGAACAGCAAGAGCGCCCTCCTCATAGTGGGTGATGAGACTGTGCATGTCTGGTCTTAGCTGCAGCCCATGAAATTGAGCCAAACAGCTGCCTTTAGCTGATGATTTAACTGTCACCATTCTCTTCTGTAGACGAGAGTCCATGGGAAACAAACCCAGAGTGAGACAAGGAAAGTAAGCCATGGCATTTGACTTTTTAAGGTCCACTGCTGCTTCTCAGTTCTTCTCTCTGTTGGAACATACAACCCTAGTCTTAGTTCCAGGCTGAGAAGAGCAGTTGGCTAAGCCCTTTTAATTGGAAATTTTTATTATATGTGTTCACATATTATTTCACCAAATGAGATCTCTAAAGATGGAGATGATGGATTTTCTTTTTTTAAATCACTGTATTGTATCCCCAGTACCCAAGATAGCACCTAGACAGCAGGTGGCTTGAAAAAAAATGTATTGAATTTGATGCTGGTGGAAAACATTGTTTGATAGAACCAAGAAAATAAATATGGTTCTAGATGCCTTAGCTCAAAAGGGGACAAGTGCCGCTGATGCCAAGTCAAACTAAGCAATAGGCCTTCAATACCTATAACACACGGTGCTTCCTTGGATGGGCTGCCATGGGGGCTCCCATGTGGGAGCTCTAAGGTAACTGCTGTGGGTACCTGTAGCAGGTTTAGTAGGCTTCTACCTTTGTGGAACAAGCTGTTGGTGTGCAGCCTGTCATGGTACTTCAGTCTGACCACGTACCATTCTCTGTGTTTATGTTTTTTGACCCGATTTTCAAAAGGCCTGCAGTCCTCTTATACTAGGCCTGTGACTTTGAGGAAGGGACCTTGTCTCCCTGGGTCTCAGTTTCCTCACTTATTAAATAAGACTTGAGGCTAAGTCACCTCCTCAGTTCCCAGGTTATACATCTAAGTGCAAATACTCCATGTGCAGCTGCCAGGTGCCTGGCCCTCAGCTGGCTCTGAGGGTACATCAGAGAGCAACGCCAGAAACCCTAGCTGCCCTGACAAACATGATAGTCTAGTGTGACAAGAGGTCACATATTGAGGTATATGGGGTAACTATTTGAGTTCAAAACTGATTTGGCTTGAACTAAAAGGCCTGACTTATGGCCTATCAAACATATGTTGTACATCTGCTTATCCGTTAAAGTAAAGAATGCACTCTCTTAACATAAGAATGCACACTTCCCCTCCTACATCCTATTGTTAATGCCCTATTGGTAATGCCCGCTGATATTAGTCCCTTTTCTGACATCAGGGTCATGTTGATCTTCTAATTTGCAACTGAATATCTCTGAAATCTTGAGGGAAATGTATCCTGGGTATGTTTAATGTATGTTCTTTGTTCTAAAAGATATAAGACTGTACTGAAACCCATGCTTCTCTGGAACGCCTTTAGTCTAAGGCCTTACTCGGTTATAATCCTCACTCTGCCTCATAATAAACTCACCCCAATTTTGATTGATAGGTTGGTTATGGATTATTTGTGTTGACAAGTGGGAGAGAACTCATTAATCAAAAATTTATATAAACAAATGTAAAATTATAGATATGTTAAGTGTTCTGATTGGGTGGTTCACAGAATCATGAAAGTGTTCAGCAGGGAAGACTGACCTAGACAGAGAGTAACCAGCCAAGGGGGTGTGGGGAGGTGGGTGAGGGTCCAGGGCAGAGCAAACAGCTTGCAGAGGGACAGGCAGTGGGGGCAGTAGGGTGCATCTGGGGACCTAACAAGAGGCAGTGTGGCTGGGCTGCAGACAGGAGAGGAAGCACGGCATGAGATGACCTGAAGCCAGAGAGCATGCAGGTCATGGCGGCCACATCAGTGTTGGGTCTTTATCCCAATAGCCACAAGAAGCCAGTAGAGGTTCCACAGAGGTGACCTGGCCCAGTTCTGTGCTTCCAAAAGTGCCCTCTGGCTGCTGTGTGGAGAACAGCTTGGAAGAAGGAGGAGAGAGTGGGTGTAAAATGAGGAAGTGCAGGAAATGGAAGCCATGAGGACAGCCTGCTTTCTGGAATGTACCTGTAGGGGAGGAAGACATTTCCTCTACCCTCTCTGGGTTCATCTGGCTGGAAAACAAATTAAATTCACATGAGACAGAATAGCAGGAGAAAATTAAACAAAGCTTTATAACATGTATCCATGGGAGCAGCTCAGGCAAGCTGAGCAACTTGCCAAAATGGCTGAAGCCCCCACCTTAAATATCATCTTCAGCTAACAACAAAGGAGGATATTGGGGGTGGGGGAGTCAGTTACAGGAGGTTACCAGAAACAGGAGTAAGATTATCATGCAGATTTAAGTCCTTGCCTTTGGTATTGATTAAGAGTTTCTAGAGATAGTCATCCCCCTCTTCGGGTACAGAGAGGGAGGGACCTTTACAGATGGAGATTTCCCTTACAACTGTAAATATTTCTTAACAAAGGGTAAGCAAGTTCCACTCCTCAGAACCTCCTTCCCTGTCCCAGTTTATCAAAAGCAACAAGCCCCAAATAATCCTCATGCCAAAGAGACATTATCTTGGTGTGGCCAAGACCAGTCCCCCACATACCTATGATGGGAGAGAGCATGGCAGGGCAGGAAAGGGAGGAAAATATGCAGTCCCAGGAGGGTTTAGGAAACGGGAGAGACTGGAGTGTGTTTACAAATCAATAGGAAGGAACCAGCTCAGAGAAAGGTTGAATGGGCAAGGAGCAAGGGCTGAGTGACCTTGAGACCTTCCTGGAATGTGATGGGGATCAGATGTGGAGAACAAGGGGAGGGGCAGGCAACAAGAAGAGGGGACAGTGCCTCCACTTCAGCAGCTGAAGAGGGCGGATGGCCACAGACAGCGCTGGAAGGGGGAAGACGAGGAAGTCTCTGCCTGGTCTACACTGCCTGCCTGTGAAGGAGGCAGCAAGGCCATCTGCTGAGAGAACGGGGAGGACGGTGAGGAGCAGGAGGAGAGAGGAGAGGATCTGTGAACACCTTTGGGAGACTGAGCTGACCAGAGGACAAGCTCCGGTTTTGCATGATTTTAAATCCTCTAGTACAACACCTCTCCTTGTGTCCCTTTAAATTCACAGATGAGAGGATCAGCGTCATTCAGGATGATGTGATTCTTCCACGGGCAGAGCAATGGAACTGTTCTGGGAAGCACTGATGCAGAGCAGCCCGCCGCCGTCACATCTATCCCGAGCTGGAGGACTCTGATTTCACGAGGCTCAGCATTTTCAAAAGACCGAGTTTGTCAGTTAAATCCCAGATGAAAGATGTAATAGACCTTTTCAAGAATTACGTCAAATATAGATTTAGAGTGTTAATAAATAAAAGCAGGGTTTATTTTCCCATTTTATTTATCCAATACTAAGAAAAAGCAAATATTATTCATCCAATTGTCTAGAGATTAGGTATATTAATCATGGCGACTTTTATCTTTTCATGTAGTGCTTCTTCGTAGGATAACTGTTAAAAATGTCATGCTGGATCAATTAGGTAAACAGGGGAGCACTCATTACCAATGGACATTATATTTTTTATAAACTTATTTACTTATTTATCTGACTTCTCCACTGGCCTGTTGGCTCTGAGATGGCAGTGTCATCCCTAACTCTTAAACCAGGTGGGCACATAGTAGGTGTGCAATAAATGTTTACTGAAGGAATTAATCAATCTTAGATAAATTTATCTGACAAAACTAATGGGTCTCTGTTGAGGCCTAACCTGGTCTCCTGATGGGGCTGCGGGAGGAATAAAGTTAGCTTGGGAGGGCAACGGAGGGCCTGATGGCCATGAAAGGTGCACATGTGATGGGTGACCTATAAAATTCTGTGGCATAAGTGAATTTTCAATGGACTGAGTGTTTTTATGGCAAACTACACTGTGCAGATGTTTCGTAGGTAAAAGCAGTTTTACTCTGAGAGTCCTGGAACACAGCACATGCCTTGCACACTGCAGATGTTGCCTATTGTGTTCTGACAATCAAAATTCTGAAAATAAGTACCCTTAGATGGAGTTGATGGAACAATCTTATTCAGAACTCTGCTGAACAAATTATAGTGAAGTACTAGCTGAGACTCTCAGTCTTGGCTCTCCCTTAAAATAACCCAGGGAGCTTTAAAAAATACCTGTGCCGGGCCCCCCTCCAGAGATTTGGGAGTAACTGACTGGGGGGTGGAAGGTGATCCTGGGCACTGGGATTTTTTCAAAGCTCCCTATGTGATTCTAATGTGTAGTCAGGATTGAGGATGGCAGGTGGTGAGCATCCAAGGGTGCTGAGTGGTAGGAAAAGCTAATGCTAGTCACTCCCCAGTCATCCACCATAACCAGCAGGCTGCTTAAGCACTGGGATATTTCTCCATACTTGAATTGTAACTAAATTTTGTAAGTTGTGTGTAGACTACATCTCACTATTTTATGATTACGGCTTTAGAGGTTTGAGTGCCATCTCAGAAACTGTGTCCTGTCTGCTTATCTTCACGTTTATTAAAAGGAAATCTCAGTTTAAATGGGGACACTAACCCTATTAAAGCGACAGATTCTAACACTTTTATGAAGTGACTTGGTACCCACAAAATGCTTTTTAGATTGAACTAGTGCAGTACTGAGGACATAAGACATTCCTGGCATTGAGCCACGCTTTGGGAACACAGAGATAAAGATGCTTTTGCCTCTACATGGTCCAGCAGGAGAGCAGCTTTGTAAACCATCACCTGAATGCAGTGGGATAAGTGCTGTGACTGAGTCCCAGAGGAAAGAAGTGGTGAATCACAGAGGGCCCAGAACCCAAATCTGCTTCAATTGTGGCAGATAGTTATTCCCGGCAAATGATTCTCCTTTAAAAGTGACGCTTGAAAATTTCAAAACCCTGAGCTCACCCATTGGGATTCATATCCACCTGCTCCCCCTGTGGGGCCTTAGAGAGAAAGGGAGAGAAACAGGAATTGTGCTCTGTTCTACGGGATTCTCCACATGTGTTTGCTTTTTTTCTCAATTTGCATTAATCAGCAGAGAACACCTATGAGATCTGAATTTGGTGACATGTAAAGGGGTACATGAAACAGACCTGGGGATGTACAAGAGAGGAAAGAAAGGATGGGATGCAAATAAGTGAGCCAATTCTATCCTGGAAGTTTCTTGAGATATCTCTTTGGGCTGAAAAACTACTGTTAACACCATTACTTTAAGCTTTCTTTCTTGCCTCTATTCCTGGAGAAAATTTTTAGAAAACTCTTAAAGAGAAGATAAAAATAATACGTGGAAACCTTCAGCACTGCTCTCTTGGTTATGGGCTTCCTGAGTATTTTGAAAGACAGAGATTCTAACAACTCTACACCACAAAAGGCCCTAATGATTTTGTGTGTGGAATGCTTCCATCCTATTTTCCCCCTTGACTCAGTGGCTGGCACATTTTTAGATAAGACACAACCGCAGACTTTATTGAGAATACAACAATGTAAAATAATGAGGGTGAAAAACCTCCAAATGAGATGGATGGGATTTTTTTTTTCTTCCCTCTTTCTCATGGATAAAAAGCATTTACCTGCGTCAGCAAAGTCATGAAAAAAATCCGCCTCTAGACAAATAACACCAGTCTTTTTTGGAGGACGTGCTCTTCATACTCTGACAACCATTTCTTCCTACTGGCTGGTCTAACGGAACTAAAGAATACAATTTTGCGTTCTAATTACATTGGTTGTCTTAACTGATTAAAAACAGCATAGGTAGGACTCATCTTCCAGCTTCCTAGGAGGAAGCTGATACTTTTCTAACTCTCCCATTACATCAAATTCTGGGCTTGGTATGAAAAGAATTTTGAGTAGGAAGGAAGGGGAGTGGAGGGCATATCCTCTGAGTGCAGACCTAGTCTACACAACCAAACAAAGATGACTCGCCAATGTTTTAATCATGAGGGGAATATGATCAGGAATCTTTAGTTTCTAAGGACCCAGAATTAAAATGTCCACAATTTGTAGAAGTACTTTGGTCTTCCCAACTCATAACATTTTCAGCTCAGTGAGGATGCTGGAACCAAAAGACTCAAAACTTAACAGAATCTTTGGTATATGTCCTTCTATTTCTGCTCCTCATTAGAGCCAGACGTTTAAGCAACTTTCTCTGTCCCAGGTGAGCATGCCCCGGCATACAGGGCCTCCAAGCTAGGCCTTCTTCCATCCCACCAGCCCACCAAAGACTCCCAGAGCAGCAGGCACCCGGTGTACCTAGAATGTCGAAGCACGCTCCACTCTCCAACCGGTGTTTCCTGTACAGGTTCTTCAGGACCTTGGCACTGCCAAAGCGTTTGAAACGGCTCTTCACATTATTGTAGAACCATTCCAGAGACTGGGTTCTCAGAAGCCTGAAGAAAACACAGAATTAGAAAACAAAACATTTGCATTAAAAAATAGAATTATTAAATAATGGTTTGGAAGGACTGCCACAATACTTTGTAGCTCCTTCCACCAATATGTGGAGTTTATTTCTCTACTCCTTGAATCTGGGCTGGCCACCTGCTCTGACCATAGAGTGGTGGAAGTGATGCTGTGGAGTCTTGAACCCTGTACCTTCCTCTCTTGCTGCTCTTGGAAGTCCTGCAACCCATCACCATGTGAACAAGCCCAAACTAGCCTTTGGGATGACAAGAGACACTTGGCCCAATCACCCCTCCTGCCCCAGCCAATACCCAGCCAACCCCTAGAAGGTGAGTAAGGCCATCCACTGCCAGTTGACTGGAGATGCATGGGTGACCCTAGGTAAGACCAGCAGAAGAACCGTCACTTGAGTCCATCCAAAGAGCAAGCTGATAAATGCTTGCCATTTGAAGCTGCTGATACATTTGTTTAATAGCAGGCTTTATATTTGACACTCTTCCTGCATTAACAACATTTCTAATTCATCTTGGGAAAATAAAAAGCACAAGTGAGACACCGGGCCCTACAGCAAGATTCTCCAGCCTCTTACTCACTCAGCCTGAAGCGCTGTGGGGAAGCAGTCCCCCGGTCAGGGCTGTAGCGGTCCAGACAAAACACTGACCTGATTCTTCTCTTTTCTGCCTGGCGAGAGCATATTTCTAAATCCTTCCATTTCAAGAACAGCTTTTGTTGTTATTTTTCTTATTATGAATGTAATAATGCATGCTCATTTTAGAAAATTCAGAAGAGCAAAATGAATATAAACGTGTCTAATTCAATGGAGGAACAAGCACACATTTAGCTGCTCTTCTTGCCCAGACGCCAGTGAAATGTGAGAAGACATCCAAAGGGAAAGAAATCTATAAAAGTGAAGATTAGAGGACAGAACAGAATCAGAGATTTTGACAGATTTCTGGAAAACTGAAAGTGAGTGAGAGCATAAAAATAACAGAATATTGTCCCTCAAAACAGACAGAAGAGGGGGAGGTCCAATTCGAAGTTGGCTGGTGCAGAGAGCAGGACTGGGTTATGAGACAGTATTCAGAAAGCTGGTTTAATGGCTGTGTAGACAACAGTGAGGGCTCTTGGCCCCATCCCTATTCCAAACAAATGGACAATCGATCCAACAATGCTTTGTCTTAGGACAAAAATAGAAAGCAGTTCTCTAAGAAAATTGAGCAATCTACTTGAGGAGGCCTAGGACTTCAATACAGGGGTTACCACCTTGCAGGGAAGCCCTCCTTGTTTGGCACTGGGGGAGCCCCCACATGCCTGCCCACCAGGTCCTATCCATGTACCCCAAAGTCAAGCCTGCTAGTTGCCTTTCTGGCTTACACACTTGGAGCTCTCTGCACAAATGTCACCGCCTTTGGGAGGCCTTTCCTGACCACCCTAGCTGAAATACCACCATCACGCCAACACATCTTCTGTCCTGTTACTCTCACACTCCCCTCATATTTCTACAGAGTGATTCTCTGTACCTGTTGCTTAATTATCTGTAACTCATTATATATGATAATACACTAATATGTGAATTAACCACTACTTGTTAAATTGTTTATTATCTATTTCCCCCTTTCCAACAGAACACAAGTTCACGGAAGGCAGGTTTTTCCCCACTCCTGTACCCCAAGTTCCTAGACCACTGCAGCGCTCATAGTTGACACTAAAGAAAAGCTGGGACATGATGGACGGTCACTGTTTTAAACCTGTTTTTTTCACTTAACATTCCTGATTGACTTTAAGTTGTTGAATAGTCTTCCCCCACAGCATTCTTAGTAGTTTGCGAGTTCTCTATAGTATGAACACAGTGTTCTTTATACAACTGATCTCCCATCTTTGGACACTGAATTTGTCCCAATTATTTTGTTATTAAAAACAAGTCTGTGATGCATATGTTGGCAGCTAAATGATTTCACATGTCTAGGACCGTGGATTCTAGAAGTAGAATTGCTGAGTTCAAAGACGCCAGCCTTTCAGGAAGCTTGTAGCAATTTCACTCCTCACCCGTGATGGTGTGAGATTCTAAAGTCCTCCAAGTGGCCTCACGTTGAAAAGAAATCCCTGAAGGAGGGGCCAATTGCTCCATGGCAAAGCCCACTTCCAGCCTCCAGTGCAGCACAGGAAGGAGGAGAAAAGGGGAGAAAGCAAGCATCATCGCCTCCACTCTGGTTTGGGAGACAAGATGGCATTTAGAGGCTTGTCTTCTTCATTGAGGGAGAAAGGCAGCTATAAAACAGAATGCACCAAACATATCATCCCTTTTATATAAAACTGCACTGTATCATCAGTATCATTGCTATTAATAAAAACGAATGGAATTATTTGAGTGCTTGCTTTGTCTTCAGCACTGTGCCCAAAGCTTTCCTTGAATCACTGTATTTAATTCTCCTGGAGTACAGTGCAGTGGGTAAGGGCATGGGGTCTGAGACAGGCTGGGACTGCCCAGGCTCTGGCATTTACCACCCATGTGGTCGTGAACAAATGACTCAATTCCTCTAAGCCTCAGTTTCTTCATTTATAAGATGGGTATGATGACAGTGCTGGTTACCTTATAAGGCAGTTTTGAGGATTAAATGAAATAACGCAAGCAATATGGTATCTGGCACAATGTGAGGGCTCAACAGTTTTTTTTGACAACTACACGGATGAGTTCCATTTCTATGGATGAGCAAATCAAGATGTAGTCAGATTATCTTGCCCAAAGGAGCAAGTGCCTGAGCAGAGATTCAAAAATGGGACCTCAACCACGCACACGCGCTAGTCACAGGCACCCAATGTGAAGAGCGACTGGCTCTCTCCAGTGTATTTGCCTATAGCATTTTAATCTATTACAGTAAGTGTCTGTCATTTTTATAAACAGAAAAACCCATAAAGCTATTTTCAGAATTTAGAATAATATAGCAGAAAAGAAAAAAAATATGGAAGACTTTGTCCTTGGAAATCATAACCTCTGGGCTTATGATTTATTTTATAGCTTTAAAAGCACAAAAGAAATATGACTCTGGAAGAGAAATATTTTCCGGGCTGCCTCTCCACACCCTGCCCTGCTCTCTGAGCAGCTGACCGCCAGGAAGGACCTGAGCGGGAAGCTCAGCAGCTGAGCGGGTCTATGCTATTGGTGGGGGATAGTTGTTACTGCACTCCTCATTCTTCTGGAAAAAGGGCATTTCCTTCCCTTTTGGGACACTCATCCCTCCTCCCCAACTGAGTCTATGTTATTCTGGAAAGGCTGGCCTCACTCGCTGGCAGCCATGGGGGTGGTCACATGACCAGACCTGTCAAACAGGGTCAAGGTGTGCTTGCTTTCGGAAAGAGGTGCTCCCTTTCTGCTGGACTGGCCCCATGGCAGAATGAAAGCCTGGGGCTTTTGGGGCCATCTTTGCCATCACTTGGGGATATTTGTGGCTCTCTGAATAACAGCAGATCTGACAGTGGGAAGGGACAGGATTCTCTCGACATGCTTTGAACACCTGGATCTACTTAAGCCTGAAGTCAACCCTTGAACTTTTCCATCACATGAGCCATCATTTAAACCTTTTTGAGTTGGGTCTCTGTTATTTGTAACCAAGAGTCCTAATACTTCAAGTATGTCGTAGGATGAGTTCTCCATTCCCTGGTTATATCAACTCTACGGCATTCAGAAGCACTTGAATGACCTCTAATATGGAATACTCAGCTTGCTTGAGCCTCAGAGTGGAATCAGGGCACTGCCCTGGGGCTGCTGGGAGGATGTCACCGAATCCTTAGAGAATGAGCGTCAGAACCACAGCCCGATTTGGATAGCAGAAAGCTTTTCCTTAAGAAGTGATGTGTTTTAGATTATGTTTTGACTTAGAGTTAATGTGGAAAGCTTTTCTGGAAGCCCCAGGGAAGGCTCAGTCATGATTACCCTCATTTGATATTACTGCTTTTATTTCACTTATTTTAAAATTCATAGCTCAGAGGAAACTCCCAGGATGCATGTGGTTCGTGGGGCAGAGGTGTCCGGAGAGGGCTGTGAGGACACAGCACCCAGGGTGGACTGGCTACATGTGCTTCAGGGACCCCCAGCCCACCCTCAGGTCTCCAGCTTCCACCTGACCAGACATGACTTCAGGGAAGGGTAGATGAGAAGTACAGAGACTTGTGTCAGCATCCTGCTGGAATGGAAGGCAAGGTGGAAGCCTGCATTCCTTCATTTGTTCACTCATTCATTCTTTCATTCCCTCACTATTTATTGAGTGCTCTAAGAGGCAGGCCCTGTGCTAGGGACACAGGGGGTGACAAAACAGATGAGGACCCTACCCAACAGTGCTGCCAGACTAATTTCTTCAAAGAGTGCAAGAGGAGTCATGAAATGAAATCAAAAGCCAAGACAAAGGCATCTTGGGAATGGCCAGACAGTCTGTGTCCCAGGCCTTGGGTTCTGGATCATTCCCGCAGATCTATGGGAAACTGGAACCAACTTGCTTTATGTCTCAAGTATTTTCTCTAAGGAGGCCCAAACTGCTGCTTCTCAGCTGAAGTAAACACATAGGAGAGGTAGCTTAGGAAGGACAGGAGACGCGCTCCTGGTGACGAGACTTGTGGTAGAAAACTTTCCAACTTATAACTGGATTGATTCCAAAAGCTTTCTGCTATCCAAATCGGGCTGTGGTTCTGCCACTCATTCTCTAAGGATTCAGTGACATCCTCCCAGCAGCCCCAGGGCAGTGCCCTGATTCCACTCTGAGGCTCAAGCAAGCTGAGCCTTTCATATTAGAGGTCATTCAAGTGCTGCTGAATGCCGTCGAGTTTTGCTCTCACCAGGGAATGGAGAGCTCATTTCTTGGAATGAGCTCAACTGCTTGATTTCCCTGGCTTCTTTTTTAAATGATCTCGAGTTATCCTTAAGGATGCTCACACAAAGATTCTTAGCTTTGTGTAATTTCATAAACTTAAGCATGATCATTTCTTTAAATACTAA